ACAGCTCTAGAGCACGTAGGCACGGGATGACTGCTAGTTACAGCTGGGTACAGGAAGCATGGGCTGGGGTTCTTCTTCTTTAACCTTTTCTTACTCATTGCACTCTCTTAATTTTCTCTCTTCCTTTACCTTATTCGTAAATCAGCGACAACTATAAGTGATCTTAACTCCCCTGAGTTCCCTGATGTGTTTGCAGCCTGATATAACACTAGACAGAGAGGAGTAGCAATTTTAATCCACAAAAACCTCAGTTTTACTTTATTAGACAAAATTATAGATCCTGAAGGCAGATTCATCATAATTAAAATATCTATTTATAACCAAAAGTTGTGTATTGTCAGCATATATGGTCCAAATGTTGAGGACCCCTCATTCTTCCACAAAGTTTTTCATGCACTTTCAAAGCACGGCGACTGTTCTCTAATTATCTCTGTGCCTGGGTTGTAAAATCCCACTTACCCCTCCAGTTTGCTTGCTGGGTGACTTTGAGGGAAGCTCTATGGAAAAAAAATCAGTTTGCATCGCAAAGAAAACTATCCTCATGAATTGGAAAAGTAAGGATAAACTCAGCATCAATCAGTACAGAGATCTGTTGTTGGATCATATTAATCTTGAGACAGCATCTGCAGCCCTATCAGACCAATCTCTCTTGGCTCCCTTGATCGGCTCCATCACTTAGTGTAGTGGGGGGCTGTGGGGCGCGTCCTATGGGGCGCAGGGGGCTGGTTCGGGGGTTCTTGGGTCCTGGGGGGCCTGGGGCGCCTCGGGGGGGTCCTACGGTGGCCGCGTGCGGTGCTCTTGGGGGGTTCCGTGGTGGGGGACGTGGGCTACTGGCCTGGAAGCGGTGCTGCTGCTGGGTGGGTCCGGGGGCTGGGATCCCTGGGGCGCATTGCCCTCGGGCGGGGGCCCCGGTGGGGCTTGGGGTTCTGTGGGGAGTACTGCTTGGGGTCTGGGCTGGTGTGCGTCCGGCTGTCCGCCCCTGCCTCTGGTGTGCTGGGGTGCCTCGGGGCCTGTTGGGCTGGGGGGGATGGACATTAACACCTATGGCAGATGCTTACCGCAACAGGGGTTTGCACTCTGCTAGTGTTGGAAGGGGAGGGAGGGGGAGTGGGAATGATCTCGGCCTGGATGTATTTTGTCACTTGTGTGGTGAGTGGTTAGAATGTTAATGTAGGGATTAGATCTCCGGAGGGGGGGGGCAGGGGGTGGTGATAGAGGGAAGAGGATTTTAGAAGGGCTTCGGGTCTGGCTCCCTGTCTCAGTCCTGGTCCGTGCCGTCCCCTGGTGGGCCTTTGTCTGGGTTGGGGGCTCTGAGTGTTGCGCGTGGGCTGGCCAGCTGGGTTGTCTCCCCCTCCTTATTTATTCATTTATTGAATTATTATTATAATTCTTTTTTTTTTGTGGATGGACAGGATGGGGGGTGTGTGGTGGTGTCGGCCCTGTGCCCGGCTGGCTGG